CGTCTTCTTCCCCTTTCCTCCCTCCCCTCTACCCCTTCCCTTGAGTCACTTCCCTTCCCTGCACTCTCATCTCTCCCTCCCTTCCTTCCTTGCCTCCCTTCCTCTTGCCCCTCCCTTCCCTTCCCCTGCTCTCTCCTCGTCTCTGCTTCCCTTCCTCTGCTCTCTCCCCGTCTCTGCTTCTCGCTCCTGCTCTTCCTCCCCGTCTCTGCTTCTCGCTCCTGCTCTTCCTCCTCGTCTCTCGCCTGCATGTGGTTGTAAGCTTCTTCGTTGGACATCTCCAGGTGAAACCTCTCCCAGAACTGCCAAGTCCCTCACTGACGCTGACGCCATGCCCTCCGCCCCTCCGCCCCTCCCACCAGAGCCTCACCTTGTACAGTTGTCGCTCAGGGTCTTCAGGTCTGCGACGACACGTGACAAGACCTCTCGTCTAGCAGCAGCAAGTCTTTACCTTCCTGGCACCCCTGAGATGTCCGGGATGTTGGCGTCCTGAGAGAGAGTCAGTCAGGCAGACGCTGACGAGCAACATCATCGACAAGCTGTGAGTACAGCAACAAGACTCAACCATCACCATCGTCAACGATACCTCTTACGTCTCGCTCTCCCTCATCATCATCGTCATGCTCAGCTCCAAGAGGTCCCTCGTGGTCCCTTCACATCCTGCTCCTCATCATCGTCCTCAAACAAAATTTCTGGGTCGCTCTCCTGCTCTGCCCGCTGATCTCTTTTCTCCTCCGTCTCTTTCTCTCCCTCGCCTTCGTCCGTTCCATTCCTTGTCCTCCTCCTCCCACTACTACACCACTGCTGCTCCCTCGCTCTCTCTCTTGCCCCTTCTTCTCATTCCTCGTCCTCGTCCTCTTGCTCCTCCTCCTCTTCCTTCCTCTTCGTCTCCGTCACCTTCATCAGCATCATCAGGTTGATGAAGAACTCTGCTCGTCGACGCAAGATGATGTAGGCTTCACTGCAGTACTGCTGGAAGAGACGATAATGCTGACTCTGCTGCCCGCCCATAGCGTCGACCTGATCCGACGTGAGTCGAGAAACAGAGAGAGAGAGAGAGAGAGAGAGAGAGAGAGAGAGAGAGAGAGAGGTAAGGAGCAGGAGAAAGGAAAGCATACACAAACGAATGGCAAAGACAAGAGCGGAGGCAGAAGAGGAAGGGCGGGAGAAGTCGACAACCACCAGCAGGCAGTCACTGGCAGAGATAAGGGCAAGATGGAGGAGGAGGTAGCGGGGTGAAGGAGGAGTTGACCATCTCTTTGACGAGCTTGAAGGGAGGAGGAAGAGGTTTCGGGTCTCGCCCGAGGATGTATCCGAAGTCAATGTGAAAGAGATACCCTCCTGATGAAAAGATCATTGAAACACCATGATGATGATGATGATGATGATGATGATGATGATGATGATGATGATGATGATGATGATGATGATGATGATAATGATGATGATGATGATGATGATGATGATGATGATGATGACGGAGATGATGATGATTGAGCTGATAGAGATGATGATGATGATGAAGATGATGATGATTGAGACGATAGAGATGATGATGATGATGATGATGATGATGATCGAAATGTCTCCGTGATGGTTTGCACATGGCGATTGCGGATTCTCCTTCTCTCATCATCTTCACCTGGGCTCAGAAGTACATTATCCAAGTGACGATCTCCTGGACATCAGCAAACGTTCAACCCCCCCAGCACCATGACGTGTCACTCTCATCTGTGACGAGTTTACCTACTCCCAGCAAGTAGGTGACGACACAATATCCTGCTGAGCTCTTGACGTAATTGTCCATCACCTGCACACATGACATCTTGTCAAGAGGCTGAAGGGTTTGATTGCTCATCGTCCCTTCAATCATCACCTTACAAAACAACATCACCATCAGCCTCCTCCTCCTCATCA